TAAAAGAGTAATGCCCTGGATTTAGCTCAGTTTAATGAGAAGGCTTTAAGCTATTTAATAGTGGAAAATTCAATATAAATATCAAGGGGTCTTGAGTCAGAGCTCTGAGATTAATTGTGACAAATAGGCAATTACTTCAAGTCAAATGAAATTAGACTGATCTTTTTTGTTCAATAGGCATTTGCCTAGTGCAGTGGCACTGAGTGCATGATGGTGCATGATTCCTCGACTGGAAATTAACCTGAGCTACGCTGCTGATTCAAATGCGTCTCAGTGTCAGTGAACACAGAAGGGAAAAAGGGGTGAGCTGGCTTTTACTGGTGCTGTCAAATCAATATCACTCTGGTGTGAAGAAAAGGGCAGGTCACATTCCACCTACATACTTTTCACTGTAACTCAAAATGTACTTCTCTGCTCCAAAATGCTCTGCTGCATAGCTGTGCTACTAAACTGAGATTACTGAAATAAGAAACACACAGGACAACAAGCTTTGACTTAAACTTAAAAAAGAAAGTCAGCTTACAATGTATAAGGGGATCAGCATTGAAGATGGGGGAAAAAATTAAATCCACTCTTTACATTACTGAAATTTCACACTCTGCAGCCTCAATTATAACTGTGAGTTTTGCTTCAGTGAATGGATTATTTCACGAGCAAGCACTTTGTGCACACTAAGGAGTCCAAAGCTGACCCACTGAAGCTCTATATGGTTCTGCAGAATATGAGCTCTTCAGTATTTATGTAATTAAGCAATTAAATACATTACCAGTCAGGTTTTAGCCGCATATATCAGTTTCAGTATCATATATCAGTTAACAGTGCAGTCACTGATTTGATACAGATTACGGAAGTCAGAATATTTAGGTGTCATTTTGCACTTATGTTATATGTGCCCTATAAAAAACCAGTGACCTGTCCAGGTTGCACTCCATACCTGTGCAACGATTGCTTGTATTGCCCCAACTCTCCCCCAAAGGATTAGGCAATAGATGTCAAATTAATAAATCAACGACTGTAATTCTGGTTATAACACCCCCAACAGGACAAATTAAAAAAAGGACAAATCAAAGTCAAACTAAGATCATGATGTCTTTAATATGGATGACCTAACAAATGCCACATCAGCTGTGCTGGTGTATTAGTACGCTGTGTTTCTTGCTGGCCATAAGGTTAATGTTTATTTGGATTGACAGAGGGATGTTAAATTTTTTTGGCCCAAAATAGCCTGTCAGTGTCCACACTAGCTGCGGCTGTGACACAGTACAGCAAATGACTGTTGGTCACGAGGGACAGCAGGGAAGCCAGCTGTTGGCCTGCCAGGGTCCGTTTCCTGTCTGACAGCATGAAAAGCAACACTGGGGACACACACATAGGGTCATACATACATACATCAACTCTCTGAAGCAGCATTTTGGACAAGGACAAAAAAAAAGTACAATGTGACTTAGTAGAGTCCAAGCCATTTTCAGAACCAAATTATCTTCATCTCAACTTGGTTGAAATCCAGTTTGAATTACTTCATTTCTTATCTATGACGACAATAAGTAAACAAGGTCAAGGTGAAAAAAAAAAACATCTCCCAGACTGCATTAGAGCAAAATTGCACATTGGTTCTATAACAACTTTACAACACTTGTAAGTAGTTGAAATACACTGATGACTTTCTAAAGTATTAAAACGATTAAACAGGATTTTAAGTTAATATCCAGCAAAAACTATCTTCTTGGATGATTAGTCTCTAGATATCTTCAATGTTTGTAATATATTGCAAATGCTTAATGTTTACTGTTGAGTCTTAAGATTAAATGACTAGTTTTTAGGAAAATTAATCTCCTCAGTAAGTATGGAGTTTCCTCTAAAGTGTGATTTTGTATCGCAACCATTATAATGAAATAGTGACTCATTAGGTATAAGGTCTAAAATTAGACGACGCTCATGTGGTCTTACTCAACAACAACAGGACTGAAATCCTAGTCCTCCTCTGTGTTACTGTGCATGTAAGTCACAAATGTACAATATAGTTTGTTTAACCAATTATTGGCCTCATTGCTATTGAAATAACCAGAGGTGTCATATATTCTTTCCAAAAAACGAATGACCTTCAATGACTTTTTGCTCAAGTTGACCTAAGGAAAATAAATAGTTCCCATGGGAAATTTGTTTTAATGCCGTATGTCAGAATGATGTAACAAGACTACCTTAATACATTTATAGGAGATGGTGACATAACACCAAAACACTGTCAGTCAAGGATATTGTAGATTCAGGACCTCCTGTAATTGCCTTAAAACATGTCTGCAATATCAATCAGCTGAAGAATTTGCAATATGCGCATCGCTAGTATTTTAATACAAAAATGTGTTTCGTGGACATTAGCTTGATTATAGTAAGAAGACATCTGAGAAACTTTATTTAGAGAAAATCTTATTTTACTTCTGTGATTTGTTGTACACATTAATGGGGAGATTCTTGTGACAATCAGGTGTTTTTTTTAATCTTAGACACAAGGGAATGGGACAAATACAGTACAATTGTAAGGCATGTTAATCAGAAAGGCTTGCTTTTCATCTATATACCACATAAAATATCCAATTAAACGATTGGACGTGTAGTAAAAAGAGGCAGCACTGAAGTAGGAAATGGCATATTATACAGTACTGTGTGCATTCATTCTAAAATGACCTATTATATAAGATTGGTTGACCCTCACAACCCACCGCACCAGAGAAATTGAATAAAATATTTCCATAATTTATACTTTGACATGGCATTTCTTAATACTTAACAAGCAATAGGCCCCCAGTGGTGAAGTAGGACATAACTGAAGCAAAGCCAATTCTTCTTACTGACCTGCTATCTAAATATATTTATACAAATAAATGATATCCCCTGATGCAAGGCTAGGCAGCGCAGCTAAGGAGCTTCTATATATTTTCACACTACTCCACACTACTATTCTGTAAGCCAACATTGTAGATGCACTGTATTATACCATTGTTAGCAGATCATGTGACCACGTATCATGTTACATAATAGCCCCACTTTATCTTGTGGGGCTCTGAAGTCAAGGCAAGGCAACAGCAATAGCTGCTTCATCCTCCTTTTTAGATTGTTGCAGTGAAATGGAGCAACTTCTTTAGAGTTAACATTTCTGACTTGTAGAAACAATTCTGTTATAATTTATGACAACACAAAAGGTGACATTCTATAAACAATACACGAGTAAAGATTCTCAGGGTAGAATCCAATCAATCATAAGTACTAGCAGTTTTAATTAAGAGAAAGTTGAAAGCAATTTGGCAATAACAAATTATACCTAACATTTGAATATAAACATTGAGTGATGACACTATTCTTTATCACACCCTGATAGATAAAAACGTACTTACTTACACTAGAGTAAACTACCCATACCACGAGGTGACCCTATGCCACCTGGGTGCAAACTAGGTATCCTGACCATATGGGACTTTTAGTGGGTTACGTGAATTATTAAATCTATTTTTTTAATCAATGGTAGCAGTCAGAGTAGAGAGTAGGGATGGCTCGATACAACTCGGAGTATCTCCTGATATCCATATCAATCCAATACCTCCTTTTCTCCTCCAGCATGCCACAGGCAGCCATTACTGAGACGATTCTGTCCCTACAGCATGTCACGCAAAGTTAAGTTGCTATTTTTAATCAAGCCACAAAGGAAGGCAGCCGTAAGTGTTCTTAGTACGAAACATGTAGGCGCAGCTGAAAATGCAGCACTAATAACTAAAAGTAAGGAGTTAACAGGCAACAACATTGGACTAATCAGCAGCATCCTCCCCTCAATGACCTTTGTATATTTAGCAGAATTTAAGACTCGTGTAGACTTTTTATTTCTTTCCCATCGTCTTCCAGCCACATTATGATGATAGACGTTATATACAGTATATTTAAAATCTATCCCAACATACAACTGTGTCTTTCTTGCAACCCAGATCTGGTGAACAGGCGGACCACCCAAGTGATTGCATTAAAATAATAAGCTGCCCTTACAGCAGCTCAACCTTATTGCTTGAGTCAATTGGACTCATTCATTTGAGTATAGTGATAACACAAGCTTGTCCAATAATAAGCATTCTTCTAGCAACATGGTTGCAGGCAACTGTCTAGGATCCTGTGTAAACATAACAGCCAAAAATATGAATGACATGCACTTATTTAATAATTCCACCATCCATGCGCTCACTGTTACTGTAACATATAGATTATACATGTCGTTATTTGCACATGTGGGAAAATGGTTTTGCTTTACAGAGCAACTCAAGCTTGAAATGCCATGTCAACACCAGCAACTCACCATACCATACTTATACTTTTGCATAACTTTCTTTTTTCAGGTTATAATGTTAGTGCAATATAGGAGAATTTAAAAGAAAGTGGCGTTCTATACACCAACCACACAACTGCATGGTTAAGTAGAATTAAGCCAGGGGCAATCCTATTTCTGTCGTTGCACCAACTGCCACACTTGAGAACAGATTGACTTGTCAACACTGGCCTGTCAACAACATAACCTCTGGGTCATAACTTTTCCACAGGAGTGGGAGGGGGGTCTACAACCTCTTATCAGAAAAACACGCCGGGAATGAATGGAGCATGTCGAGTATTTGTTGTGGAAAAAATAAAAGTATATGAAAAATGCAAAAGTGTCCAGACCATGATTGGTAGTTAACAGAGACAGACGTACTTTAAAAACTGTTGGGAGTTCTCGCACAATGCAGCCAGCATTTGGTGAGACTGGTGATAAAAAGTTCTGATTTTCACGGCGTTTGAAGAAACTCGTCGCAATCGTAAAGTCTTTTAGTCAGACTTAGCTACGAGCACGGGGCTCCTAGCTAAGTCTGACTAAGAGACTTTACGATTCCCCTCCTCCTCCGTCCTTCTCCCGCTAAAGCATGACTGCCGCCGGCACAACAACATTAGTTCCACTGTGGTTTTCTCTTTTTTTATGTGTACGAACTCACCCACAGTTCTTGAGCCTGACCCCGAACCAAGTAGAAGGTACCAGATCCACATCATACGGTCTCCTTTAGCCAGAGCAAGCCCAGGCCTGCCCTGACTATCCTGCCCCGCTGCGGGGCCAAACAACTGGTGGCAAAGAAGGAAAAACTTGGCGATGAAGCTGCTCCTTTTTACTGTTTTCTCCAATCTCGACTCTTCTTTTCTCGCTTCCTGTTAAAGTGGTCCATTTGTTGTTGAAGTAGAGGCGGGTTCGCGT